ATATGCTCAGTCAACAACATCTACCACCCCCACTAACTAGTACAATGAAGTTGTCATTGTTCACACATGTGCATTCCAGTCCATTCTTCTTGGCTACCAGGTTACATCAATGTTGGGCAAACTGTTCTCATTACATTAACAATGGCTGGACATTTTCTGGAGTGCTTTCAGAAAAGCATATGCAGTGCTTTCTGTGAGCTTTCTATGCCATAATCTAAGAAATCTCCCTGTGTATGCTTGATCCCAACTTCTTTTAGCTACAAAAGGATAATTATCATTTGTCCTCTATATGATCAATTTTCTCTTTCCCAATTTATTCTTATTAGGAAACAAAAAAGAATATATGTTTTAACATCGTACAAAAAGAAATCTGTTTTACTCCAGTTCCAGCTACCACCTAATTTGATCACTTCTCTTACTATTCAAAAAGTTGGTATGCTGTTCTAAATACTTTTTTTGAGTTCTTTCATATACCCAAACTAACTGGCTTATGACTACACTGTTACACCAGAGTTACTGTACTATTTTCAAGGACATTATAGGCCATTGTGTTGTTAAGCAAAACTCTTAATCTTCATCTTAGTTGTATTTTCATCAGGAGCTCATTGATAAATTAACCCTTCTTCCCTGAAAGACATTCTTGTTTGGATTACTTGGTACTACCTGTTTATGGTTTTCTTTCTTTCCTTCTCAGTCTCATTTGTGACTTTCTTCCTCATAACTGTAATATCTAAATACTATAGAGTCCAACATTCAGTCCTTATACCTGTTTTATATCTAGATTCACTTTCACAGTCTCTTTTTAAATTTTAGATAGGTAATAGATTTTAAATAATTTATATATAAAACAAATAGTTTATATATACAGTTTTATATATTTATATAGTTTTAGAGAGAGAAAATGTTTTAGAAACACCAATGAGAATCAAGGAGTGAACTCTCCATTTCAAAATGAGTCAAATAAGCCATGCTGAAGAAAAATGCTGAAGAATGGTGTCCGCAGTAGAGAACTGGATTTCATCCAGTGAACTCCCTGGGAAGGGAATGATAAGAGGAGAGTTGAGCATGCAGTGCTGGAGATGTTGCTGAAGATGGACCATAGCATAGGGCTGAGAGAAAGGGATTTAGCACTTTGGTTAGGGGTAGGAAGAGAAGCTATAAGAAGCAGTGCCACACAGGATGGGAGTATTGGTGATTTTTCTCAGTGATTGACTGAAAAAGCAAATTAAGATTAATTCTTCCCATATCAAGACAGAAAACAGTGAAGAAATACACTCATTCTATTCTAGTATAATGTCACTTATTTTACAAAAATTAAACATGCTTATATTTGCAGAGGCAAAATATGGAACAATATATTAAAATTTAAGAATTTTTTAAGAGGGAAACAAGGCTAGATTTCTAAAGTATATGCTTGGTTATTGTCTGAATTTTTACAAGCATGTACTATACATATATATACATATATGTACTATGTATATATTAGATCTGTATTTAGAATTAACATTTTAAAAGTTTATATATGCAAATTTCCCTTAACATATTTCAAAGATTTCAAATAACTGAATAAATTATAAAAACCATTTTGTTTTAAAATTTCTATTTAAGTTAAAGTTTCATTTAACTTTTATAGAAAATTTTTTAATTTTGAATATTGGTTTCAACACTATGTTTGTCCAAGTTAAATACTTTTTTTTAACTCTTGAGTCAACTCAGATTAGTGTTCTTCAACTTTTTCTTTTATATTCTGTGGAAAATTTACATAGTGTCAAATATAATTAAAATCTGCATATTGATTCATGTCAGAAAATGTATAGTCATTATTTTTGACTTGTCTTATGAAAAGTTTTCATTTCAACATAAATTCTCTATTTGTTTAACCAGATCATAAATAAGCTTTTCCTTTCTTTGATACTACAAATTTCACTTGTATGCAGGGTCATATCAATGAAATATATAAATCACACTGACATTTTGTCTTAAATTATTGTATATTTGGAAAATACCCATTTTGCTTAAGGAGATTTAGAATTAACAGCACAGTAAATTTTCTTTTGTTCACAGCTAAACCAACACGAATTGGTAAAGACAAAAGATCATTAAATTCATTGTGTCCTCTTTCTTTTAATGGGTTCCATAAACTGGCAGTGATTTATAACACTTCTACTCATATACTTAATGATTTTAACAACTACATGCACTATATTTTTAATTGTCTCACAAAAACTGAGCACAGATATTTTTAATATATATTATAGAGTGGAATAAAACAATAAATTAACCATCAGATTTAATTATTATATATAAAGGATTTTGAATTAAGTATATGTTTTTATTGATGGAAAATTTTCATATTCTGAGTCATTTTTCATGGTTTAATTGGATTTCACCTTGTAAAATTTTTAGTCTTTTCTCTTAATTTTATAACAAAGTTTCTATCATTGAAATAATTTCTTCATCCCTTCATGTAAAAATACTTTTTTTATTGTTCAAGAATCCAAGACATCCTAAAACCTGTCAAAATTACAAATTTTAAATCTTGTTTAAAAACTATATAAATAAAAAAATATATTATTTCTTTTGTATTAAGTTTTATTTCCTTTACTTTTTAGGCAGATTACTGGAAAGCAACATTTACCTAGATTGTTAAATTCTATTTTGAAGGTATTTATAGTTTGTAGATTTATTTAAAGTATTGTTTTTCAATGACTGGTATGTTTGGACTTAGATTGACCCTCTTATTTTGTTTTCTCATTAATTTTTTTAAAAACAACTTTAAAAAAACTTTTGCTCATACTTCTTTTTAACTGGACAAATTTTATTTTTGTTTTTCCTTTTCAATTATTGAAACATCCACAATTGTATCTTTACAATAGTTGTTCATGTAATTTTAATATCATACATAATATCTCAGAGAATCTAACATAATATCTTTGCTTTTTAAAAAAATGTAAGACCGTTGGCATTGACTGGCATGGCTCAGTTGGTTGTGTGTTGTCCTACAAAGTGAAAGGTCACCAGTTCAATTCTTGGTCAAAGAACACGCCTGGGTTTGGGGCCCAATCTCCAGTTGGGGCACATAGGAGAAAGCAACCAATCAATATTTCTCTCTCACATAAATGTTTCTCTCTCTCTCTCTCTCTCTCTCTCTCTCTCTCTCTCTCTTTCTCTCTCTCCCCCTTCTTTCTTTCTGTCCTTTTCTGTTTCTCAAAGCAATAAAAAAAGTGTCCTTTGGAGAGAAAAAGATGAATAGCTTCAATAGTATTAACTCAATATCAACACATATCTTTAGGGTATTACTCTACTCTGAAGACTAGGTTTTAAAAAATAACAGATATAGTGAACAGGGTTTTTCAGTCTGGTGAATAAAGGTAGACAACAAATGATTGCTTTATAATGTGGTTAAGAGAAGTACAAAGAGTGAATACATAGTTCCATGGTAATAGGAAGGCCAAATAACTGTGTCATAAATGGATCAGAACAAGATTTCCAAGATGTCAAGAAAGACAAATAGAGCTTTGTAGGATAAAAATGTAAAGATGGAAAGATCATTTTGAACAGCAGAATTATTCATTTAAAAGTACAATGTAAGGAAGTCCTTGGCACATTTTATAAGTTTTAAAGAGTTTAGTGTGGCTGAAGCATTCAGTAACAGACTAGGGAATGAGAAATCAGTTTTGAGAGGCAAAAATAATTCAGTAATAAAAGGAATTCAGACTTTGCCTCAGAAAACTCTGTGCAATGGTAAAAGGAATATAAGCAGTGGAGCAACATTATCAAAATTGTGTCTCAGACATGCATTCAAAAGTTAAAATACATGTTTAGGAGTTATTGCAGTAATACAGGTGACAAATAGATGTGACCATAACTAGGATAGTGGCAATGGGGTTGTGGGGAGAAAAAAAAGGCTGGATTCTACAGGTAAAAAAGACATAGAACTCATGGACTTGGATGAGAGTAGGCAATAAAAAAAAACAGTCAAACATTACTCTGTGATGGATAGTGGTACGTAAACTGAATTTGAGAACATAGGAGCAAAGGATTGTAAATGTAAAAATATAAATTGTAAATGTAAAGATGATAAAATTTGGTTTGACCATGGTGAGTTTGAGATGCCCGTGTAATTGGAAATGGCCACAATGTAGAACAGTGAACAGAAAGACATGGTGTGCAGGGGCAGAATTATGAGTCATCATAAAAAAGATAATATTTTTAGCCTTTAGAAATAGAGATAATTACTTAAGGTAAGTAGGTAAGTCAACTCCCTTCTCTTCCCATTACCAGTAGACCCAGTGGGACAAAGACATTTTTTAAACATTTTTATTAACCCTCTTTGAAAGTGATGAGCAGGTGACTATAGAGCTCATTATTTCAATATTGTCACAGTCAGCATAAGATAGGATTAGGTGTACCAGTTAGTTATTCATTCTGAGATTTGTTAAGTACGGTTAAATAAATCATTGGATTTCAGAGAATGGAATAATAACACAGAATTTTCCCTAGAAACACAAAACTAAGAAGATGACTCTCTATTTATATTCTTACCTGTTAAACATGATCTGAAATTTCTTTAGAGATAGGAAACAGATTAGTATACATGGATGAAGGATACTGTCATTATCATGTCTTATGAGGAAAGAGAATAACAATGAGTTGGATACTATTCTGGGCAAGACAGATAAGGTATTTCAGGTCTATATCCAATTATAATTAATTTAACAATAATTATATAATGGCTACTCTAAGACAGGAATTCACTTAAAAACAAGAGATTTAGTTTTGGTTTCCAGGGATCATAGTTTATTATTTATCTAAGAAATAGACTTGAGAGTAATAATTCCCCTTAACTAGGTGTATCATCAGCTAAAATATAGTCTCATTCAGTCGTTACTAAGAATTTTAGTAAGTATGATAAGGGAATCAAATTTTAGTCTCAAAGAACTAAGAGATCAACTGCTTCCAAACAAACAAAAAATTAATTTAATCAAGATTTCTCTCATTTACTTTGTCTGGAATAATTTGAACAGTAGACTTGGCCCCTTTGGCCCTTTCACTGTGGTGCTATCCCTCACAGGATTTGTTTTGGGAGGTGGAGACTGACTTTGATGTGTTTTTCCAGGAAGTAGCTGGTAATTTTTGCTACATATAAACTCAAGCCAGGAGATCCCTGGAGGCAACCGGTGGTAACTAACTAACTTAGTGAACACACAACCTGAAAAGTTAGATGTGGTAGACTCTTTGCAAGGATAGGGTGAGGAGGGTGCAATGGAACAGGAAGAGGAGGAAGAAGATGAAGAGGAGGATGAGGAGAAAGATGTGGAAGAGGGAGAAGATGGGAGCCTAGTCTGTAGTTGAGGATTACTTTTCTTAACATAAAGCAGCCAGTCAATAGCCTGGGCCTGTTGACTTACAACTTTGTTTTCAGGGGCTGCTGTCAGCAAATTTTTCTTCACATTAAGCCCATGGGTGTTATCAGGTTCAAAGGGAGAAAACTGTGATATCTTCTTCATTCCTTCAACACTCTCTTCAAGGGCTTCATCAGGTTGATTTTCTTTCACAGGGAATGGAAGATAAGATGAGAAAGAAGTCTCTGGTAGAGAAAGGATAAAAACTAATTTCACCTCTACATCTCTCTCAGAACTGGGCTCAGGTGTTGGTACGACAGACAGTATTGCACCACGAGGATCTTTTTTTCCTGTAAGATGCTTACACTGAGTTTTTATGCAGGAAGCACAAGCTAAACAAACCATGTAACGTGATGAAAGGCGGGGACCAGGATGAGGATTTGGCTTTCCTCTCATCCTTCGAAAGAGAATTTGCCTAGAGAGATCCCTTTGGATTCTGGTCTTGGAAAGAGAATTGATAATTTTATTTACAACATCATCAGGGACAGTTCCACCTTTAACAATGCAAGGATAAATATAATCTAAAGTCCATGGAATTTTTTTATTTGAATATGTTTTTGCATAATGATCAAAGCTGCGCTTGCTCTGGATTCTGGAACCCCGTGTTGTAGCAGCTATATTTTTGGAGCTTGACAATGATCTACGTGAGACATTTAGTTTGAGATGGGATGAAGATACATATGTGGCTCTGTGATTTTCATCAGGTGAAGTGGTGTTTTGAAACTTGGAGTCATAAACTGGTGAGCTCTGAGTCCTATGGGTATGATTCAGAGTAAGCACTGTCTGGGATTTGGACTGGAACAATGGAAAACTCTGAGTCTGGCGAACAGAGTATGATAAAGGTGATTTCCTCGGTCTTGAGTTAGAAGATGGTAAACTCAGAACACAAGGATTAGGGTTCAATATAGGTGGTGTCTGGGGTCTGGAGTCAGGTATCGGAGATCTAGAAGCCATTTGACTGGGCTGCAATGAAGGTGATATCTGAAGCAAGTCATTTGTTCGGCGTATAGACGTGAGAGAGGGGGAGCTCAAAGATCTTTGATTATTCTCCAATAAAGATGCCCAAAGGCTGTCCAATGAAGATAATTTCTGAGTCTTAGACTGAAGTAATGCTGCCCTAAAGGCTCTTTGATTAGGTCCCAAAGATAATGATGCCTTGTGGGTAACAAAGGGAGGTGTTTCTTGATGTTTGAAGGGGATGAATGAAGAACTTGAGACCTTTTTATTAGACTTCAGTAAAGGTGATTTCCAACAAAGGTCTAAGGAAGTTGTATTCTGAGGTTTGGGGAGGGATAATTGTGAGTTCAAATTTGTTTGATTGAGCTCCACTGATGACGATGATTTGTTGAGGTCAAGTGAAGATGTTATTTGAGGTTCAGGGTGGAACGAAGATGAGCTCAGAGATCTCCAATTAGGCTGCAATGGAGTTCTCTGGTGGAGGTCTAGTGAAGGTGTAGCCTGACGTTTGGACTGGGGTAGCGGTGATTTCAAAACCCTGTTACAGAAACCCTGTGAAATTGTATCCTGAGGCTTGGCAGAGAACCTCTGCACCTTCTGGCTGGATCTTAGTGGAAGTGCTGCAAAGTGATTACTATCAGATTGTACTCTGACCAAAGACTGATTATTGAGTTGATTTAGATTTTCACCTGTGTACTGATGGGTTAATGAGTTGGTTGTGGCCAGTTTGTAAGAGTGTTCTAAAGGCACAACACATTGATCATAATATGCTAGTGGCACCATTCTATAGTGGTAGAGGTCTTTTTGAAAGCAATTTGTTTGTAGAGATGGTTTAGTAACTGATAGAGTCTTTTAGCTGGTTTCCATGGACAATATATACTTTAAACAAAGTCTTTGATAGTTTGTGACTTTTATCGTGTAAATGCTCTGATAATTCTCAAATATTATAAAGTATCTCAAATTGAGTTTTAGATGTGGTTGAAAAAAAAGTGTTGAAAAACAATTTCAGATTCTCCTGTTCTTTGTAGTTTCCTAGAGTTTTTTTCTATCTTCTTTTTAGTTTCCTAGATTTTTTTTTTACCTTGAGGAAATAATTCCTGTTAAAAAAAAATAGTAAAGAGAGTTCAGAAGAGTTCCTAATAAAGATGAAAACTTTCACAATTTGTTATAGTGACTAGAACACAGGCTTTATGTTAAATCTCAGTCACGGTATGTGAAAATTTTGAGTTAAACTTTTTGAACTCATTTGTCCATCTGTAAGATAGCTAAATATTATATTTAATTAATTGGGCTAAAGACTAAATTTGTGTGTGTGTGTGTATGTGTGTGTAACAGTGTGTAACCACGATATAAGTATTTATAGTATTATTTTAATTATTGCTTTGGTAAATTTAGTAAATTCACTAAAATTTTAGTAAATTTTAGTAAAAAAATGTTTTAGTAAATATGTATAAGTATATATAATTTGATGCATGACATAAAGTCTTAGAGGAAAATGAAATGGAAGTTCTGAAATGTTGGTTTTCAATTTAAATTTGATTACCCATCATTGTCATCTTTTAGTTTAAGTCTATTGCATACTTTTAGCATTTTTTTCTCACAGAACTCTCCAACAGGTTTCATATTTACTGTTACTGTTATTCTATTACAGTTGTCCCAATTCTTCTCTCTTTGCTTTCCTCTGCTCAGCCCACCCCCTGCTCCCACAGTCAATTCCCACACTGTTGTCCATGTCCATGGGTCATTCATACATGTTCTTTAAATAATCCCTTCCCCTTCTTTCCACCATTATCCTCCTCCTCTGACCTCTCTGGCAACTGTCAGTCTGTTTCATGCTTCCATGTCTCTGGTTCCATTTTGGTCATTAGTTTATTTTGTTCATTACATTCCCCTTATAAGTGGGATCATATGGTATTTGTTGTGACCCAGCAATTTCACTCTTGGGAATATACCTAAGAATCCCAAAACACCAATTCAAAAGAACTTTGGTACCCCAATCTTCACAGCAACATCATTTGCAGCAGCCAAATGCTGGAAACAGCCTAAGTACCTATCAGTAAATGAGTGGATCAAAAAACATTTACACAATGAAATACTACACAGCAGAAAGAAAGAAGGGACTCCTACATTTTGTGACAGCCTGGATGGATCTGAGAATATTATGCTAAGTGAAATAAGCCAAATGATGAATGTCAAATAGTATTGTTCTTATTTGTCAAAATTACAGCTTTTGAAAATGTAGACTACTATCTTTTAAAACTAATGGCTTTGAGAAGATCCAAGATTATTGTGAAGTAGGTGGAAAGTACAAGAACCCAGGACCGAACTAAAATTACAGCTAAATTATGGAAGAATCATTCTGAATAGCCAACTGAACATTAGTTGGAAATAAGTCTTATAACCAAGGACATACAGAAGAACCACTTCACCACAATGAGACTGGTAGGAAGTGAAAAGGTGCAAAGGGCTAGCTGGGCTCACACAGGTGGCAGTTGAAGTTCTAGAGGGATATTTCAGTGGCCACCAGGAGTTCCCCCTTGAGGAGTGTAGGATGGAAACCCCAGCTCACCTTCCCAGCCTGCAGCACTAGAGCCTGGGAAGAAACCCAGATAACACCCAGCTATAAAAAAGCAGTGGGTTTTTTTCCACCAGGAAAAGACAGCTGGAGATACAGAGAGCCTCTTTAAGAGTCAATGCACAAAGTTGTGGTTGCAGCCACTTACCCTGGGTTCTGGCAAAGTGAGGACAGAGTGGTCTAGAACCATGTGAGGAGGCTCTGAGGTTGGTGACTCTGGGGCGAGAGCTGAAGGGTCAGTTGCCAGGATCCCTGTGCTGAATCATCCCCATATTGCAGAAGTCATCTTTCTTGGACAGAACACTCCTTTCCAATCAGCATAAGCTGAAGGGGAAGCAATAGACCCACTCACAGGAATCCTCTTACTTCACCGAAGAGCTTGTGCCAGGCTACAAAGGAATACAGCCAGATGCCTTTTCAGTGATTAAACCTAAGAGCAAAGGTGAATCTCTGGGAACTCTGAGACTTTAGCTGATACTTCCCTGGGTCTGCTACTGATAAAAGCTGCCCAAGGTATGCAGTGCTGTTCTTTCTGCACACAACCATAGTCAGCAGAAGAAACCACAAGCTATGAATCACCAATAGCTCCAAAAGGTTGCCCAGGTCCAGTCACAAGCAGCATCTGTCATAGATCCGCAACAGAGTCTTTGCAGATCTAACAAATACATAGAGACAAATACAAAGAGGCAGCCGAAATAGAAAAAGAAATGGGCCCAAAATGAAAGAAAAAGAAAATTCTACAGAAGAACTACATGAAATGGAGGTAAGCAATTTAACAGATAGAGAGTTTAGTAATGATTATAAGGATACTTAACAGCATGAAAAAAGACAAAGAAGCTACAAAAAAGGACCAGTCAGAGCACAGAATGCAATATCTGAAATAAATACTACACTGGAAAGAATAAATAGTAGGTTAGATGAAGCAGAGTATCAAATCAGAGATTTGGAAGACAATATAGAAAAACATCCAAGGAAAGCAGCAAAATGAAAAAGAATTAAAATTTATGAGGAGAGCTTAAGAAACTTTTGTGACAACATGAAGCATAACAATATCTACATCATGAGAAATACCAGAAGGAAACAAGAATGAGGAAAGGATCAAGAACCTATTTGAAGAAATAATGACCAAAAACTTCTCTAATCTGGTGAATGAAAAAAAACACACAAGTCCAGGAAATGCAGAGAATCTCATACAAGATGAATCCAAAGAGGTATATACCAAGACACATAACAATTAAAATGGTAAACCCTAAAAACAAGAAGGTAGTCTTAAAAGCTGCAAGAGAAAAGCAGATAGTTACTTACAAGGAATGGGTCAACAATGAAGGGTCAACAATAAGGTCATGGAAGAAATCAAAAGATATATTGATACAAATGAAAAAGAGAACACAAGAGCATTTTGATGGTTGTCAGATAGGAGATGGGTGTGAGGGAATAGGTGAATAGTTGAGGGGATTAAGAACTAAGAATAGGTAGTTACAGAATGGCCATGGGGACATAGTATATAACATAGGAAATGTCATAGCCAAAGAACTTATATGCATGAGCAAGGACATGAACAATGGCATGGGGATTGCCTGAGGGAGCAGGGAGCGCTGGATGGTGGTTGGTTGCGGGGGGGAGGGGGCAAAGGGAAAAAAATTGAGAAAACTGTAATAGCAAAATCAATAAAATATAATTTAAAAATAAAAATAAATTAAAACTCAGCTACTCAAATTTGTGGGACACAAGGAGAGCAATGCTAAGAGGGAAATTCATGACATTACAGGCCTATCTCAAGGGACAAGAAAAAACTCAAATAAACAATCTAAACAATCTAAATTTACACTTAAAGGAACTTGAAAAAGAACAACAAACAAAGCTTAAAGTGAGTGGAAAGAAGGAAATAATAAAGATCAGAGCAGAAATAAATGAAATAGAGTCTTAAAAAATGATACAAAAAATCAACTAATCCAAGAGCTGTTTCTTTGAAAAAATAAACAAGATTGACAAACCTTCAACCAGATTCAACAAGAAAAAAAAAGAATGACTACTCAAATAAATAAAATCAGAAATGAAAGAGGAGAAACCACAACTAACACCAAAAAAATACAAAGAATTATAAGAAAATATTACAAACAACTATATAGCAACAAAAATGGACAACCTGGAGGAAATGGATAAATTCCTAGAAACATTCAGTCTTCCAAAACTAAATCTGAAAGGATCAGAGAATCTGAATAGACAGATTAAACCTAGTGAAATTGAAGCAACAATAAAAAAAATAAAAAATAAAAAAACCTCCCAACAAACAAAAGCCCTGGACTGGAAGTCTTCACAGATGAATTTTATCAAACATCCTGAGAAGAACTAATACTTCTCATTCTCAAAAATTTCATAAAATTCAAGCGGATGAATGAGTCAAAAGTATATTTTACAAGACCAGCATTTTTCTAATTCTAAAACCAGATAAAGACACTACAAAAAAGAAAATTATAGGCCAATATCTATGATGAACATAAATGTTAAAATCCTGAACAAAATATTAGCAAACGAACACAGCAATGCACCAAAAAGAACATATGACATGATGTAGTTAGATTTATTCTGGGAATGCAAGGTTGGTACAACATTAACAAATCAATAAATGTGATTCACCACATAAATAAAATGAAATTTAAAAACCACATGATCATATCAATAGATGCAGAAAAAGCATTTGATAAAATCCAGCACCCATTTATGATATAAACTCTCAGTGAAGTGGAAAGAGAGGGAACATACATACGCATAACAAAATCTGTATAGGACAAACACGCTGCATCATGCTCAGTGGGCAAAACTATAAGCATTCCCCTTAAGATCGGAAACAAGACAGGGATGACCACTTTCCCGTTCTTATTCAACATAGTGCTAGAAGCACTAGCCACAGCAATCAGACAAGTAGAAGAAATAAAAGGCATACAAATTGGAAAGATAGAAGTAAAAATCTTCTTATCTGCAGATAACATGATACTGCACAAAAAGAAGCCTAAAGATTCCACCAAGAAACTCCTAGAACTGATAAATGAATTCAGCAAAGTAGCAGGATACAAAATTAATATCCAGAAATCAGTTGCATTTTTACATGCCATTAATGAACAATCAGAAATGGAAATTAAGAAAACAATCCGATTCACAATTGCTTCAAAAAGAATACCTACAAATAAATCTAACCAAGGATTTAAAA